CATTCCAAATGTATCACTTTGATTCTATTTCCACAGTTCTTAATCGGAGATGTGAGCGGAGCACCACCCGGGAGGAACGGTAAGATTGAAGTTTCATTTATTTATCCAGTTTAACTCTTAAATTCCATATACAAAGCACCTTGTAACGAAGAAATGGGAACCTCATTTATGCTAAACTTTTCATACATATTTTAGTAAACGAAAAAGACATGTATGGAGAGACAGCTCTGCATAGAGCTGCTTTTGCTGGTAATTTTGGACATTTTTTTTTATAAAAAAGAATGTTTTGTTCAATCCGTTTCATTGATTTATGAATATTTTTCATATTCTTTCAGGCAAAGTGAAGGAAGCTGAAGACCTCATCACTGAAGGAGCCGACCCTAATATTGGAAATAATTTTAATGAGACAGCTCTGCATTATGCTGCTAAGAAAGGTAACGTTGAATACTTATTGTAACTGAATAAAAGATTGACCTGATTTTATCCCATCGATCGGTGTTATTGTTCAGGTCACAAGAGTGTCGCCGAACTTCTCATCCGCAAAGGAGCCAATCTTGATAGTGAAACTAATACGAAAGAGACACCTCTTCATTGTGCTGCTGCCCATGGTAATTTTGAATACTCTTTTGGAGTACTATGCGCATTAGTATTGCTTAGCAGCAAGCATTGAATATGCTTCGGCCAATAGACAAGCCACAAGCATATCGCGATACAATACAGTTGACATCACACAAAACTGCCGCGCACACAACTATCGTGCAAACAAACATCGCATATACAGCCATCGCAACCAACTCACACACAAAACCGACCAGCATGTATACACGGGTGTCAGAGTTGTGTGTGATGTCTACTAAATGGGAAATTGGTTTAATTTTTTCATTGATCCGTATTGTTTAAGGTCACGGAGGTGTCGCTGATGTGCTTCTCAAGAATGGAGCTAACGCTAATATTGGAAATGATTTGAATACCACAGCTCTTCATTTAGCTGCTGACTATGGTAATGTTGAATACTTGTTTTCATTAAATAAAAGATTGATTTGATCTTTTCAATCGATCTGAATTATTTTTCAGGTCACAAGAGTGTCGCCGAACTTCTCATCCACAAAGGAGCCAATGTTCATAGTGAAACTAATACGAAAGAGACACCTCTTCATTTGGCAGCTAGGAATGGTAATTTTGAATACTCTTTTGGAGTACTATGCGCATTAGTATTGCTTAGCAGCAAGCATTGAATATGCTTCGGCCAATAGACAAGCACATTGCGATACAACTGCCGCGCACACAACTATCGTGCAAACAAACGTCGCATGTACAGCCATCGCAAACAACTCACACACAAAACCGACTAGCATACATACACGGGTGTCAGAGTTGTGTGTGATGTCTACTAAATGGGAAATTGGTTTAATTTTTTCATCGATCTGAATTATTTTTCAGGTCACAAGAGTGTCGCCGAACTTCTCATCCACAAAGGAGCCAATGTTGATAGTGAAACTAATGAGAAAGAGACACCTCTTCATTATGCTGCTGCCCATGGTAATTTTGAATACTTTTTTCGAGTACTATGCGCACACAGTGAAAAATAAAAGTCCACACTTAGGCGGATTTTCGACTGGTAGAGGCGCCCAGTCTTATATTTTGCTTAGTAAATTGAGTTTCAGACGAAAAACCGACTAGATTATAAGCGGAATTTCGCCTGCAGCTCAAATTACTAGCAGCAATATCGGCTGAATGCGTTTTTAGCTGAAAAAACGGCTAGATGTGGACTTTTATTTTTTACTGTGCATTAGTATTGCTTAGCAGCAAGCATTGAATATGCTTCGGCCAATAGACAAGCATTCCGCGATACAACTGCCGCGCACACAACTATCGTGCAAACAAACGTCGCATGTACAGCCATCGCCACCAACTCACACACAAAACCGACCGACTAGCATACATACACGGGTGTCAGAGTTGTGTGTGATGTCTACTAAATGGGAAATTGGTTTAATTTTTTCATTGATCCCGATTATTTTAGGTCACGGAGGTGTCGCTGATGTGCTTCTCAAGAATGGAGCTAATGCTGATATTGGAGATGATTCGAATACCAAAGCTCTTCATTTAGCTGCATTAAAAGGTAATGTTGAATGCTTGTTCTTATTAAAGAAACCATTGATTTGATCTCTTTTATTGATCCCTATTATTTTAGGTCACGGAGGTGTCGCTGATGTGCTTCTCAAGAATGGAGCTAACGCTGATATTGGAGATACTTTTGATAATACACCTCTTCATTTGGCAGCTAGGTTTGGTAATGTTGAATAGTTATTTTCACAAAATAAAGAATCGGTTTGAT